AAAGATAGCCCAAAAAGAGTGAAATTTGGTGCATTTTGAACAGTTATTTTGATACATGCATCGCATTAATATATAGAGGTTCACATGACCTCGAAAATATAAAAACAAATCGAAACTTCCTTTCAACAATTGATATTGCGTTTCACAAGTAATTATATTTCAATGACGATTTTTGAGGTAATTTCAACTCGAATTACATCGTATTGTGAGGGATATGTTGTTCCGGAGTGTAAACGTCGCTGTCTGTTAAAATGCAAGCTAAGACTCATCGGAGACTTCAAAAATCGAGGAAATTGACCCAGCCAATCGCAAGATACGAGTAGAAGTTCCCTCGATGCCCTTATGTTAGTACGTCGAGTGGTCAGGACCATTCAAACAACCAAGTAAGTACTTATGAAGCCAACTTTTGGACCGGATTCAGCAACGATGTGACGACGCCCCTCCAGAAGGCGTATACGTACGAGTGGGAACATGGAGACCCGCCGTACTTAAGCTTTGGGTGTTGGCACTCGCCCCCATGTGCCATTTGCTCCAACTTGCCCAGACATAGCCTTGACCTTGGTATGACATGCTGCATTATAGAGTTGCTGCACTACCATACGTACTGATATCCGATTATTGTTAAGAACTACTTCTTGCTCCAATCAAACACCAACCGGGTTGCCTTGGCATAGATAGCCTTGTCTGACTAAACTAGGCATCGAAGTTGTGTGTGCAGACATCACCTTCGCCCGTCCCCGCGTGCACGACCTAGAACGATCTTGTTTACTTGTGTACTAGAAGCCATGTCATAACCATTCCCATCAATCAAACATCCAACCAGACTTTATTACACAAAGGTGGCACCCAGCGCCCAGCCAATGTACGTGTACACATCAGCCGCCTCTTGCAACACCTTGCTCGTGGGTTTCCCAGCTCCGTGTCCCGCATTGGTTTCAACGCGAATGAGCAGGGGGTTCGTCTGGCTCGAGTGATGGCCCAGCTTATGCTGCACTTCCGCAATCAACTTTAGCGAGTGCAGGGGCACCACGCGGTCGTCGTGGTCGCCAGTCGTCAACAAGTACGCAGGGAACCCGCCGTGGTCGTTGGCCAAGCCAGTGCTCTTCGCCTCGAACGACGGCACGTTGTGCAACGGAGAGTACTTGGAAATGAACTCGAAATCCTCCGCCTTGTCAGGATTGCCGTAGTCGGTGGTCCACCCATGGCCAACGGTGAACTTGTGGAAACGAAGCATGTCCATGACCCCCACAGCCCCCACCGCGCAACGGAACAAGTCGGGGCGTTGGTTCGCGCACGCAGCCACCAGCAAGCCGCCGTTGGACCCACCATGGATCGCAATCTTGGACGAGTTCGTGTACCCTTCCTTGATCAGGTACTCGGCTGCGCCTTGGAAATCATCGAACACGTTCTGCTTGTTGCCAAACGTGCCGGCTTGATGCCACGCCTTGCCGTACTCGCCCCCGCCTCGAAGCGACGGCAGCGCCAACAGACCGTTGAAATGCTGCACGAAAATGATGCGGCTGGCCGAGAACGAAGGCGTCAGCGAAATGTTGAACCCGCCGTACCCATACAAGTACGTGGGGGTGTCGCCGTTGCGAGCCAGGTTCTTCTTGGACACGAGAAACATGGGGATTTGGGTGCCATCCTTGGACGGGTACCACACTTGCTTGGCCTCAAAGTCCTCGGGGGAGAAGCCGGGCACCGTCGCTTCCCGGAACACCGCGGGGCTGCTCGTCGACGGATCCGTCAGGTCTTCGCGGTAGATCGTGCCAGGGTACAGGAACGAGATGAACTTGAAAAACAGCTCTGGCGAGTCCCGCTTGCAGGACACGCCCACAGTGCCAATGCTGGGCAGGGCAATGTTGCGGATGAACTCGCCCGACTGGGTGTACAGACGGATGGTGTCGCTCGCGTCCTTCAAGTACTCCACCACGAGCAAGTCGTTGCGGACGGCATGCGCAGAGGACAGCACGTCGGAGCCTTCGGGGATGACTTCGGTCCAGACGATCGTGTCGCTCAAGATGTTGTCGACCTTGACAATGCGCTTGCGAGGCGCGTCCAAGTTGGTCACGAAGTAGAACTCGGGGCCGTTGTTAAGCAGATAGTGGTAGCTGAAGTCCATGTTGCTGACCACTTCTCGAACGGGAATGCTGGTTTGATCGCCCGACGATGTGGCAATGAACGCTTGGGCTTCGGCCAGGTCGGCAATCAGCAGAATGTTGGCGTCCTTGCAGCCGTCTATGACGTAGATTTGGAGGTACTTGCCATCGTCCGACAGCGATGCGCTGAGGTAGTACTTGGGGTTCTGGGGGTACGAGAACACAAACTTGTCGTCGGTTTGGGGCGTGCCAATCTTGTGGTAGTAAATGGCCGGGTTTTCGTTCAAGTCGGTTTCCGTACCGGCCGTTTTGCCGTCGGCGCCCGATTCTCGAGACTTGGGGACGGGGTATCGGCCGTAGAAGAACCCCTATGAACATGATGAGTACGTCTTTGTCCTGTTCTCCAACATGTAGGAGCGTTAGTACCACATCGTCGTGGGTGAACTCGACGCCGCTGAATTTGACCCATTCCACCGTGTCTTGCAGGTGCTCCACCGTGCCGTCGGCATGGATAGCAATCAACTTGAGCGTTTGCCAGTCCGACCCGCCTTTCGACACGCCGTAGCCGAAGTACAGGATGCCGTTCGCCGACTTGCCTTCCGAGAAGTTGTACGTGCCCAACGCAGCCGTGCCGTCTTCGGCCAGAGTGTTGGGGTCGAGTAGGACCTTGGGTTCGCTCGTCAATGTGTCTTGCACGTACAGCACGCTTTGGTTCTGGAGGCCGTCGTTCTTGAAGTAAAAGTACCGACCACCGCGTTGGAAAGGCGACGAGTACTTCTCGTAGTTGAACAGTTCGGTGTTGCGAGCAAGGAATTCCTTGCGGTACGGAATGTCTTGAAACACCTTTTGCGTCAACTCGTTTTGGGCCGTCACAAACGCCTCGGTTTCGGGGCTGTCGGGGTCTTCCAACCACCTATTCACACACGATTAGCGATCACATCGACTACGGACACACTCTTCCATACCGATAAGGATCCGCGACAACCTTGCCGTGGAGGGTGTCTTGGTGGTCCGATCGGTGGACCGGAGGGTATTGGTAGGAAGGTGCGGCCATTCTTGGAAGAATTTGAAAGTGACAGGGAAGTCAATGGAAATCTTTTCGTGTTGTGTCCCGTCTATCCGGATAATATTTAACTGCTCGTAATCCATGGCAAAACAAGAGGGTGCGTGTTTTGTCAATGGACGACGTCGGACTGATTCAATTACAAGGTTAAACAACAGCCAGGCATCTCCAAGGGTAAGAACACAAGTACAATAAGCTAATGTACCCATTGTGAATTGGGTCGACTGGCACTGAGATGCCTGCAGCATGGTAGTTGACGACATACCGGTATAGTCACACCCAATGATATGTGTCAGTGGCCGGAATGGTGTCGTTATCCGGAGGTGTCTGATTGCAGTTTACTTCAACAAGAAAACCCCCGCAGCCAATCCGAAATGACCTCGTGAGCCAGTCAGATCTATCTGGGGTGGTGGATTGTAAATCCGAAGGCATGATGATGATGCGCAATTCCGCTGAAGTCCGTCCCTTAAACCCGTCATGGCGATGCAGTAGCATTTAGTGGACACTAGATTGAAGCTGCAAACCCAAGTAAATGAACACAACAAATTTCGTCGCAAGCAACGAACACGGACATGCCCTAATGAACACTGTAAATGCTAACGTTATCTACAAAGCACTCCGGCCACAATTTCACGTGAATTTCGCGCCCAGCGCCCAGCCCATGTACGTGTATACGTCAGCCGCCTCTTGCAACACCTTGCTCGTGGGTTTCCCAGCTCCGTGTCCCGCGTTGGTTTCAACGCGAATGAGCAGGGGGTTCGTCTGGCTCGAGTGATGGCCCAGCTTGTGCTGCACTTCCGCAATCAACTTTAGCGAGTGCAGAGGCACCACGCGGTCGTCGTGGTCGCCAGTCGTCAACAAGTACGCAGGGAAACCGCCGTGGTCGTTGGCCAAGCCAGTGCTCTTCGCCTCGAACGACGGCACGTTGTGCAACGGAGAGTATTTGGAAATGAACTCGAAGTCCTCCGCCTTATCGGGGTTTCCATAGTCGGTGGTCCACCCATGGCCAATCGTAAACTTGTGGAAGCGAAACATATCCATGACCCCCACAGCCCCCACCGCGCAACGGAACAAGTCGGGGCGTTGGTTCGCGCACGCAGCCACCAGCAAGCCGCCGTTGGACCCACCATGGATCGCAATCTTGGACGAGTTCGTGTACCCTTCCTTGATCAGGTACTCGGCTGCGCCTTGGAAATCAT